AAAATCCAATGTTTTTTGAAAATTTTATTAAATGTCTGTTGTCATCAAGGGCCTTGCTAATACAAATGGGTATTTAAAGAAAAATAACGTAACTGTAGCTCCATCACCAAGATGGATTGAGTTTTGTGGGAATATCAAGGAAATAACACCAAATAGCTACTGAAACAATAAGATAGGCTATCATAGAGAGGCATTCAGCTAGGTTTTTGCTAGCTAGAAAATAAAGAGTAGGTTTTCAAGGGAGTAAGTAGATGTGCAAAAGACAAACTCTGGAAAACTATGCTTAGACTTCTAGCAAGAAGGAAAACAGGAAGGAGGGTAAACAGAAATAAGGCTGGTAAAAAGTAGATGTGTAAAGGGTGTTGGTTGATACCATGCTAAATAGTTTGGGAAACATCTTAGTAGCCATTCACTGTAATCTGCTATCCAAGTCTGGAAGTGACTCACAAAATGTGCTCAGAATGGCCTTTCATGAAACTATAGTTCATGATATCTCTTCTTAGGTAAAGGGACTCCTTTCATTTTTAAAAAAATTATTTTAATGATAGTTGAAAATGATCACTCTGATTACGAGTTGAGTGATGAAAGTAGGTAAAGGGATGTACATGTCAGTACCTGTATTGCAAACCATAATGCCCAGAAGAAGAGAGAGACCAACCCCATCAAAAAATGGGGATAAGAAATGTATAGAAGCTTCCTCAAAAAAGAAATACAAATGGCCAAAAGGCACATAAAAATGCTCCACATAGCTAATCATCAGGGAGATGCAAATAAAAACAAAAATGAGACATTATCTCACACCACAGAGACTGGCACACATTCAAAAGAACAAAAGAAACCAGTGCTGGTGTGGATGTGAGGAAAAAGGGATGCTCTTACACTGTTGTTGGGAATGCCGACTGGTCCAGCCTTTTTGGAAAACAATATGAACATTCCTTCAAAAACTAGAAATTGAGCTTCCATATGACCCCGCAATACCATTTCTGGGAATATATCCCGAGGGTGCAAAAAAGCACAGTAGAAACGACATCTGTACCTATATGTTCATTGCAGCACTGTTCACAATAGCCAAAATCTGGAAACAACCCAAGTGCCCTAGAACAGATGACTGATTAAAGAAACTTTGGTACATCTACACAGTGGAATACTATGCAGCTGTTAGGAGAGATGAAGTCATAAAATTTGCTTATAAGTGGATAGACATGAAGAGAATCATGCTAAGTGAAATAAGTCAGAAAGAGAGGGACATATATAGAAGGACTGCACTCATTTGTGGAGTATAAAATAACATAACATGAGACTGATACCCAAGGACAGTTGACACAATGGCCAGGAAGATTGCCTCAGCTGGAAGTCTGCCTCATGAGCGGGGGAAGAAGGCAGCAGAAATAGAGAAGGGATCACTAAGAAAATGATGGTTGGAGAGATTGGTCAGGATGGCAGATGTGTGCTGAAAGTAGATAAAGGACCAAACATGATAACCTCTCAGTATTTGTATTGCAAACCATAATGCCCAAAAGTGGCTAGAGAGTATGGGGAAAATTGTCTGTCATGGAGACAGTTGGGAGGGTTGGAAAGGGGAGCATACTAAGGAGATTAGTGGTGGGTAATGTGCACTGGTAGGGGGATGGGTGTTTGATCATTGTGTGATTGAAACTCAAACATGAAAGCTTATAACTATGTATCATGGAGATTCAACAAAATTTAAAAGAAAAACAGAAGAGAGACAGAGACAGAGAGACAGAGACAGGAATACAGATAGAGTCAGAGACAGAGTGAAGTAAGTGCCTGCCATAGAGGTAGGCTGGGGTGGGGTGTGGGGGGGCATGGGAGGGAAACTGGGACATTTGTGATGGGAAATGTACACTGGTGAAGGGACAGTATTGGATCATTGTATGACTGAAACCAAATCATAAGCAACTTTGTAGCTGTGCATTTCATGGTGATTCAATTAAAAGAAAAGAAAGTACAAAAAATTATTTTAAAATTACTGAAAAAAAGTATTTCCAATAATCAAAACATTCAAAAATTATATAAACTGAAAAGTAAAACTAATGACTTTCCTCTCTTTCTTAGATCAGATTGTGGCTGTATTTCTGACTTTCCCATGTTTTAATAAATATATCTAGTTTTCAATATGTCGATAAATATTATATTACTTTCAATGGAATAATGTGGTATGTTTTTTATTTATACATTCAACAAACACTCTTCTTTTGGAGGGCCACAGTGCACAGGGCTTATCTTGGCTCTGCTTTTAGGGATCACTCTTGGGGGGTTTTGGTGACTCTGGGGGTGCCAGGCATATAACCACAGTTGGCCTGGCCAAATGCTAAGCAAGTGACCTACCCATTTTACTATCATTCCGGCCCCTCAACAAATATTCTGAATGAAAATACTCTGAAGACAGAGTAGAGGCTTATGAACAGTGAATGAAAGAATTAATCATGAGTGTAGAATTTTAAGTGACTGAGCCTATGATAGTGCTACTCAATGATACAAGAAGGTGAGGAGAAATAGTTCTGGGGAAGAGGGAGGGCAAAAGGTCTGTTTTAACCATATCGTTGTAGACTTGAATATTAATTCCCCAAAGGAAAGGCACTAAGTAGGAAGACACTCAGTGTAAGAGTTAGGAATGGGGCTAAAAATGTGATATTTTTGGTCATTATGTGGGAAGATGAAATCACACAGACTGGAAGTAGAGAATATATAAAAGAGTGATGGACAGAGCTTTGGGAGTAGTCATTACTTAAAGGCCAAGAGAGGAGAAATTTCTGCAATGGACGATAAGAAGAGCTTTTCTTTTCTTTTTTTTTTAAGAAGAGCTATTCTTTAGAATTTTAAAACAAGGTATTTTTTGGTCACTAATTTATCTTGTAATTATAGTAGTTATTGCCAACTCATGCCCAAATAGTGTCAATTGAAATTTCTACCATACATTTAGAAACCTAGTTTCTACAAAATCACCACACAAGCTTGCTTGCTGTTTTGGTTTGTTTACTATTATGAAAAGAAAATATATTGGGCTGTTTTAGTGGTATTTTCTTAATTAAAATTTCATTTAAATGTTTTTATTTTGGGGAGATTTTTTTTCCATTTAAATGTTTTTAATTGTGTCCATTAGCTACTTGAATTGATTGTCCCAGCACCCACCCACCGTCCACTCACACCTGTTTTTCATTGCCATTTCCATGTGTGCCTCTCTTTGGGCTTTAGGTTGCCCTAGAACTGCTGCTACATCTTCCACTTTGGCATCTCATGCTGGAGTTTGAAGCTCCTGCCATGCCTCAGAAACATTATAATAAATATAAATCATGAAGCAATGAAGTCTAGGAGCCACACCAGATCTTCTGATTGCAGACCCCCTGGGGATGAGAGTCTTGGGAGAGCCCAGTCAAACACTATGCCCCTGTCCAGGACTCTCAAAGTGCAGGAGCAAGTGACCCCTTGCTTTGTAGGCTTGTTAGCTTCCTATGCTTGTTTGGAGAAAGTTTTCTTGTGAAACATAGCAACAGGCAGCCTTGGGCTCTGAATCAACTGGGTTTTTGAATCAGCACTCAAGAGAGAAAAAGATTCAAAATACTTAAACCCCGTGATTCAGTTACCAAGTAATCAGTGTAAACAGTAGGCGTTGTCCTAGATCAGTAGCCTACAGCTATTTCTAATGCTCTTGGTTTCCAGTTTTTTTGATGGATCATAGGAATGTGGCATTAAGGAGAGCACTCAGGTGGCTCAGAGAAATAGCTGTTTACCAGTAGAACTTCCAATTCTTAACAAACTGAACAGCTGAACTGATACTATGAACCCACCTTTATACTGACCCATCACCTTTCTAACTCCCAGTCATAGTGAATGGAGATAAATTTTCTTGGGGGTGTGGTGGGGGAAGCATATCTGACAGTTCTCGGGGCTTATTCCTGGATCTGTAATTAGAAATCATTCCTGGAAGTACTTGGGAAATCAAACCTGGATCAATCATGTGCAAGGCAAGAGCCCTACCTGTTGTGTTATCTCTCTAGCTCAGAAACTGGAGACCTCTAAATTGCACGATGATAGTTCCTTTCAGCATTTATCTGTTTACAAGAATAAAACAAGTCGTCAAAAAAAAAAAAAGAACGTGATAAGGTGTTAAAAAGAAAGGAGTCTCTATAAACCCATCAGAGATAATTTCTATTAATATTAATAAAATATGCTGTTTTATATATAATTTTACATAATTGTTACACTGTACATTCTATTTTATGTAATATATGAGTATTTTCAGTAACATAAGTGCTGTTATCAATTCTAGTAGAGATTCCTGAAGAGCTATGGTGAGTCCAGATAAATGTTTGATCTTTAGAAATTGGAAGTTCACCAGTACTTCAAGTCTAGGATATGAGAGAACAATGTCTAGTTGTACTGAGGATCCTTTTCTCTATGCCCATTGGCCATTTTTTGCTTACAAATGACACACTGGAGGATTTGATATTGCCTTACCATGCTAAGATTCTGTCCTCTGGCATTTCCTTTTACTCAATAGGACCTGTGACCATTTCATTAAGGAATGTGGTTATGTTAAGACCACAGAAGGAGAAGAGAGAAACTATGCTATTCTATGTCAAATTGCACAGGACAGCCTCTCCATGAAAGGAACTACATTATCTGTAAACATTGATGATGTCTACAAGGGTGTAAGAGCAGGAGATACTGAGGGAGAATCATCAGAGGGAGTGAGAACCAGCACTCAGCTTTCAAAACTTCACCTATCTTTGAACAAAGATGATATCTACAATGAAAGAGACAAACTCTAACTCATCAGGAAAAGAAAACATTTTCCATCCAACTTGGAAAATATAATTGCCTGAGTTAACAATTACTTAGTAATTAAGGTAAACAATAACAAGGAGAAAGCTCCCTCAGCAGGGTATAAAAGCAACCTGGAGCAAGAAGACTTTCATATTCAAGGAACACACTCTCCTGGACATTCACAGTACCCAGAACCTCTAAACTCTGAAATCATGGTGAACTCTTGTAGCTCTGTCTGTTCTGACCAGGGCTGTGGCCATGGTCTTTCCCAGGAGACCTGCTGCAGCCCCAGCTGCTGTCAGCCCACTTGCTGTCCTCCTAGGTGCTGTGTTTCTAGCTGCTGCAGACCCAGCTGCTGCCGCCCCTCCTGCTGTATCTCCAGCTGCTGCCGTCCCTCCTGCTGTGTAACCAGTTGCTGCCGCCCCTCCTGCTGTGGTTCCAGCTGCTGCCGCCCCTCCTGCTGCATCTCCAGCTGCTGCCGCCCCTCCTGCTGTGGCTCCAGCTGCTGCCGCCCCTCCTGCTGTGGCTCCAGCAGCTGCCGCCCCTCCTGCTGTGTAACCAGTTGCTGCCACCCCTCTTGCTGTGGTTCCAGCTGCTGCCGCCCCTCCTGCTGTATCTCCAGCTGCTGCCGCCCCTCCTGCTGTATCTCCAGCTGCTGCCGCCCCTCTTGCTGCCAGACCACCTGCTGTAAAACAACTTGCTGTCGTCCTAGCTGCTAAGTGGACTGTTCTGGATCCAGGAAAATTCCCTGCCAGTTCTACGGTCCAGACAGAGAGCAACTGGTTCAACTAAAACACTTTATGATTAACTAACAAGAAAACTTCTCATTAATATTTATGTGTGGAAGCATCTATGACAAGTAAATCAGAATTTACAGTCAGATTCTGCATCAGATTGTTCTTAATTCTAACATGAAATAGATGTCTTCAAATGTTCCCTATCTCGATTTTTCTTTAGAATGTTTTCCTCTGTAATCCATTTTGTGTGAAATTGTTTGATCTCCTCCAATAAAAGCATTTAACCCTCAAAAGCATTAAATTTCTTTTATCTCATTACTTTTTATTAATGAAATGTTCAGTACGCACGGCTATCTTTTCTGCATAACACAGGAGTGCCTGTTCTCATGTGTCTATAATAGAAAAATCATTTACACCCACTGCTAAAATTTGTCTTATGTTATGAAGACTGTTATAACTTTTACCAGACATGAGGAAATGTTGTAATGGAGGCACCTTTGAACTTAGCATGCCTAATATGAGAACAATTATTTTAATATAAAATAGCTCTGATGGAATCAAGAGAGATCATACAGAGGAGAAGGCACTTGCTTTGCACGCACCTGATCTGGGTTCTATCCTGGTACCACTTATGGTCCCCCGAGCTCCACCATGAGTGATTCCTAAGCAGAATCAGAAGAGGCCCTGATCACTATTGAGTGTGGCTCCAAATTAAAATAAACAAATAAAATAAAATGGATATGGCGTCAAAAGAGTCTTCATAACTATTACCTATGAATTGACTTCGTGAGTAGAGACAAGTCAGTACAGAGAATAGTTTATGATTTGACAATCAGAGTTAAGTCAGATTTCAGACATAGTATTTCAACTCTCCTCACCTGAAATTGCTTTTCATTAAGAAAAGTATCAAACTAACCACATATCTAGTTGGTCATACATCATTATCATACAAAAATAAATGTCATATATCACTTTTATCCTGAACCTAACCAGATTAGGTACAGAATAAAAGTGGCAGTTTAAATTTCCATGGGAAAGAAGGATTGCAAATGAAATATATATAGCTAGTATAGTTTCATTAAAAGAAAACCTAAAGGAATAGCTTTTCTCTAAAATAAGAAAAAAAGAATGTCGTCTTCTATTATCACTTCCATTTAATTTTGCATTAGTGGACTTAATGAGAACAAGTGAATAACAACAGGAAGAAAAAGAAAGGAAGAAGATACTACTTCCTTAGTAAAATTAAAACAAAGTCAAGTAAAATTCATTATAAATTGTTGAAATGCTATAAAAATTCAGGAGCAATTTCTAACTATATGCCTATACTTCTAGGCAATCCTCTCATTCTCTCTCAGTTATAAACAAATCCTGGAAGATTTCCAGACACATTTTATGAGACGAACATGACTCTAATACAAACAAACACTGTTGTTCATCGATTTGCTTGAGCGGGCCCAATAACATCTTCACTTTGAGACTTGTTGTTACTGTGTTTGGCATATTGAATACGTCACGGCTTTGCTGTGCAGGCAAGATACTTTCAGTAGCTTGCTGGGCTCTCCGAGAGGGGCAAAGGAATTGAACCCTGCTCGGCCGGGCTGGCTGTGTGCAAGGGAAATGCCCTACCTCTGTGCTATCAACACTAATACAAAAGTCAAAAAATAATATTATAAAAAATAGATTTACAAACTGGTCACTGACAAACACAGAAGCAGATAATTCAACAAAAATACTTAGCAGACTGAATTCAACAATATATTAGAAGGATCCATACACCACAGTAGAGTAAGATTTATTTCCGAATTACATGGATGGTTCAATATACACTAAATAATTAAGCTACTACATAGCATATGAACTAAAAGAAAAAATTATATGAACACAAATACATGCAAAGAAAAAACTTGATAAATCCATCAAAGGAATTCACCTTTACATAATAAGGATCATATATTACAAAATCATAGTTAATATTATACCCAATGTGAAAAATCTGATGGCTTTTCTTTAAAATTAGGGAAAGAGAAGGTCATCTACTATTATCATTTGTATTTAATTTTGTATTAGTGGTCTTAATGAGAACAAATGAACAAACAACAGAAACAAAAGGAATCCAGACTGGATGTTTAATTAACTCTCACTATTTGCAGATGACATGACATTAAACATTGAAATCTCTAAAGCCTTCACTAAAAAATCTATAAGAAATAGTAAATGAATATTGTAAAGTAGTAGGCTACAAAATCCATATACAAAAATTTATTGCATATTCTGAATAAAGCTAAAAGAAAACTTGAGAAAATCATCCCATTCACAGTCCTATTAAAGAGAATTAAATATATAGGAATGAATTAACAAAGTGAAAGACCTGTATTAGGAAAATTAAAATATATTGTTTAAAAATGTAGACAATATAGGACCTGAGAGATAGTATAGTGGGTAAGATCTTTGTCCTGTTCAGTTGACCTGGATTAACTGAATTTCCAGCACTGCAGATGGTTCCCTGAGCACCACCAGGAATTACCTCTGAGTGAGGAGCCAAGAGTAAGCCCTGAGTATCACAGGGAGTCAAAAAACCCTGGATGAAACAATATTCCATGAACATAAATGTGAAGAATTGATCATCCTCACGTATGGAATACAAATAAATCAAATAATGGAATAAACAGACTTCAATGGAAACAAACTCTAAAATATTGCTGACAGAATGACGAACTAAGTCTGCGAAAGGGGTAGGAGGGCAAGGGACCTAGGACAGTGGTGGAGGATAATTGGCATTCTGGTGGTAGGAGAGGAAAGTAATACTGCAAAAATAAAGAAATAATATAAAAACTGTTGTAAAACACATTACCTTAGTAAAAATTGGGGAAAAATGGTTGTCATTTATGAATCAGCAAATAGGTTCAGTGCAACCCCTATCCAAACTCCAATTTTTTTTTTAAAGAAAATAGAATAAAAACACTAAAATTTATATAAAACTATAAAAAATACTAAACAGGTAAAGCAAATCTTGAGATAAAAGAATGTTAATAAAGATATCTTAGTTGACTTCAAATTACACTGAAGCAATGACAAATAACAACAAAATTAAAACAACAAGATACAGGAATAAAAGTAGGTACATGGATAAATGGAGTGGAAGCTAGACTCCAGAAATAAACCCACACTGATAATACATTGCTATATCACTGTATCACTATCATCCCATTGTTCATTGATTTCCTTGAACAGGCACCAGTAACGCCTCCATTCGTCCTAGCCCTGAGATTTTATCAAATGCCACATTGGAGGCTTTTTCAGGGTCAGGGGAGTTAGACCCGTCATTGTTACTGGGTTTTGACATATTAAATACGCCACAGAGAGCTTGCCAGACTCTGCCCTGTGGGGAGGATACTCTCGGTAGCCTGCCATGTTCTCCGAGAGTGATAACTAGATAATAAGAAGTTGTGTGGTCGCATTTGTGGCCGTGAACTTCTGGGAGCTTTTTTTTTTAAAGTCTCTGGGTCTTGGCCATTGATGGGATTACACAGCACCAAGGGCAGTTGGTGAGTGTAATGCCTAGCTAGATGGGGGATCTGGGTGGAGGAAGCCTTGGAGATCTCAGCCCCAGGTCCTGCACACCTGGGTTCCTCTGCCGGTTCTTTCATGTGTGAGGCTCGTCCGAACATGTGGAGAGTTGTCTTAAGCATGGCTGTGACTGGTTCCAGAGGTCTTCAGCTGTTGGGGCTCTGCTCGGGGCGAGGAGGGAAACTCAAGCTGCCCCCCTCTAAGGGGCCCCCGGTGAGGACAGCCAGACGTGGGGGCAGGAGACTCTTATATAAGTGGGATATCAGTCAATCGTCTCACTGATAATATATATCAACATCAAATCTGTGACAAAAGAGTCAACACTGTACATTAAAGAAAGAAAAGATTTTTTTAAGAAATGGTGCTGGGAACATTGAACTGCCACAAACTAAAGAATGAAACTGGATCATTTTCATTTAAAACTTAGGTGTAAGTCCTGAGGCCATAAAAATAAGAGCACTAACATAGTTGATGAGCTCCATCTTTCCACCATTAATGATGTCTTTGGGGACTTCTCCTCAACAGCAAGGAAAATGAAAAATAAAGATATCTATCTATCTATATCAATCTCTCTCTCTCTTTTGCTCCCCCCTCACTTCCCCACACTGAAACTACCATGATAACACAATTACCAGTATAAATTGGTACTTTCTACCAGCAAACACAATTATCAGTAGAAATAAAATGTAACCTATAGTAAATAGAAGAAGATAACTGGGCATTATAATTCAAAAATGGATTAGTGTTCTTGGTTAAAAACCCAAGCCATTCCTCAACTAAAAAAAATAAACAATTAAATTTTAAATTAGCAAAAGATATAATTAGACATTTCTAAAAGGATATATTGATGTGTCTCCTGCCCCCACGCCTGGCTGTCCTCACTGGGGCCCCTTGGAGGGGGGCCAGTTGAGTTTCCCTCCCCGCTCCGAGCAGAGCCCCGGCAGCCGAAGACCTCCAGAACCAGCCACAGCCATGCTGAGACCACTCTTCACATGTCCGGACAAGCTTCATGCATGAAGGAACCGGCAGAGGAACCCAGGCATGTGGGTCCCGAGGCTGAGATCTCCAAGCCCGCTTGGATTAGGACTGGGCCTTATCCACCCAGATCCCCCATCTTCCAGTAGGTAGGCATTACACCCACCAGCTGCCGCTGGCGCCAGGTGGTCCCATCAATGACCAAGACCTAGAGACTATAAAACCCAGCTCCTGGAAGCACGCAGCCGCATTCACAGCCGCATGACATCTTATTATCTAGTTTTTACTTTGGAGAACCCGGCAGGCTACCGAGTGTCCTACCCACACAGCAGAGTCTGGCAAACTTCCTGTGTCGTACTCAATATGCCAAATACCAGTAACAATGATAGGTCTCATTCTCCTAGCCCTGAAAAAACATTGAATATGGCTCTTTAAAAATC